TGGTTCGGATCGGGTCTTTATCGTGTAGTTCTGTGGAATGGATTAGTGCAGAGTACGAAATGCCAAGTAGGACCAGGTTATCAGTCATAATTCGGTTGAGGAGCGAGGTTGGGGGTGAACCGATGCCGCACCAGACCACGGATGCACTCAGTATGTGCTGGTTTGCCTGGATCGGAAGTATCATAGTCGGAACCAACAAGCGCGATAATTTGGTTTGAACCGATATTTGGAAGTAGTACTTCAGCAGCATGATTGGCCGGGGTATAGGAAGCATCTGTTGATATGTCAGAGACGGGTGAGGGTACGGTGGTTCTTCAACATGCTGGAGAAAAGATCCAAGGTGTTCGTGGCGCTCCTGTAGTTACTGAAGGAGATCAGGGCCAATGAGAGGCAGTTTTGGGCCTACCAGGATGCATTGTATCAGTTGCTGAATGCATTTTGGCCACCGGGGCAGACCGGGCAGATACAGCCGTCAGTGCGGTAGTCGGGCAATGTGAACATGTACGTATTTGTTGCAATCATAGCACAGAACCGGATTGGTGTAGGCTCGAAGCAGCGGTTGAAGCTGTCGTGTCTGGCTTTGTCCCGATCTGAGGTTGGCGGTTTGCCCATGACCAATTGGTAGTAGTATTGATGCCGGGCCATTGCCGCGATATCCTTGTTGGACCAGCGTTTCGTTAAATTCTTTCTAATGTCGTCACATCGTCGGCGGAGGGCTACATGGTCTGGTGTACGCCTGTCCGTGGTTTTGTATACAGTCTTCAAGTGGGCATAGATACTGTACGGGAAGCGCAGTGAGGGTTTGTCGTGGGCCCAGGCGGATTGCGTCAGAGGGGTGAGTGGGTTTGTGTTGGCCATTGAGTCGAGTTGCAGTCCCAGGCAACCTCCGAGGTAGTCCGCGAATGTTCGCGTGGGAGCAGGCCACAAAAATGGAGTAAGTTGGTTTGATGTTGGGAAACCTAGGGTATTTGATGCCCGTGATGATGGCTGCTGCTCGAATGAGTGCTGAGTTGTAGCACTCAAACAAGGTGTCCGGCGCATCCTTCCATATAGGTGGAGTCCAGGCAATAATGTTCAGGCCATATGTAGCCGTGGGTAAAATAAATGTTTTGAACAACACCAGCCTGTTGCGGGGGTGTCGCCAGCTGAAGCCATGGAAACCATAAGCGCGGAAGCAGGGGATACCCAGAGAGAATGCTGTACCCAGGGATTCCATATGTCTGGCGAGATTTATCCCTGGTATTCCGTGGGAGAATGGGAAACCCAGGTATTTGGAGAGTTTAGGCTTGACATGTGTGGGAGCCATCTTCAGGGGTAGGTGACATGTGTTCTAAGGGGCATCTGCAGGCGTCGGCGTGATAAGCTCACCATTTATACGGAGGGTTGCGCCGCGTGTCGCAAGTTGGTAGATCGTACTCGGGGTTTGATGACACCCTGTTTGAGGCCAGATTTGCGTCCCCAAGCATCAATGTCGTCTAAAAAGGGCTGGAGCGGAACCGGTTGGGGGGCTTGGATCCGAGTGTCGTCGACAAATAAATAAAAGCGGAGGCACTTGGGCCGGAATTGTGCTAGAGTGACAGCCAAAGAATCTATGTAGATAATAAAGAGCTGGGGGCCAACGATTTAGCCTTGTAGGATGCCATTTGTTCTATGAAATAGATGCGCGGTATGTCACTCGGGTAGGGACCCTCTCAAATAGCGCGCGGAGGCAGTTGATCCAGTTTTCAGGCATTCCAGCGTGGCGCAAGAGTACCCACAGGCGAGGGAGAGCAACCTTGTCGTATGCCTTGGTAATGTCCAGACAGACGTCGTTCCACTCCTCTTCCGACTGTGTCTCAGATTCCATGACGGCGAGTGCTTGGGTATGGCAGGAGTATCGTGATTTAAAGCCACCTTGGGTTGCGTGGGTAGCAGATCCGGGGTGGCTAGTAATCAGCTTGAGGAAACACTTCTCAAATATGCGTCTGACTATGTGCGTTAGAGTGACAGGGCGGAAGTCGGCTGGGGAAGTGATATCTGCGTCAGGAGGGTTCAGGGCGGTAGGGAAAGTACCCGCCTTTAGTAGCTTAGTGAATACTTCGGCAAGGAGTCTAATCAGTGGGCCATTGTCGTCTGGGCGTCCTAGTGTCCTGTGTTCGGTGGAACGCTCCACTGCGGTCTTCAGAAGGAAGATGTGGATTCCATCAGGGCCAGGCCTCTTATAAGGATAGCGAAGTATAGCCCCCATTACATCGTCGGGGCGTACGGCGGGAGTTACATCTGGCGAGGGTTCGGTATCCGGTGGAACAACGTACGGATTTGTGGAGTTGAATAGGTCCTCAAAGTAGCCAGTGAGAGTGGCGCCTGTGTCGTTGGCACCCGGTATACAGGGTTGGCGTGGAGATCGTCGTTGGTACACAATATCTTGGAACATTCGGGTATTGCTTTGGGCGGTCAGACGTGGGCGGAACGAGTGGTTTGGCAGCCGTTGTACCCAAGGTATATTTATGTCGTAGTAAATCCCCTAAAGATTTGTGGGTTAGCGGCATAGCGCCAGATGCGGTCGAGAATCCGTTGCAAGCCTTCCGCTGGACCATGCAAGGTGAGATACGACCGTAGTAGGTTCTGATGCACCCGGAATTTGGCTTGGAATAGTCGTGCGCGGGATTTGTTGCGTAAGTGATAAAGTCGATGGCGATATCGGTTATATCCATGATAGAGATAATATTATTTATTTCAAGTGTGATGTAGTATATGATAGCGTATGTTCGAGCGTATATGATTAATAAATGTGGTATTATGCCAGGTTTCAGCCACACACATAACATCAACCTGACTTAAAATCGATATAACGTTCAAACACGTATTTGTATGTGCTGCGTTGTCCATGTTGAGTCCTTGTGGGTTGAAGAGCGTCATCCTCATTGGTCCTAACATTGTTCATCATCGGTCAATACTACTGGGCTCTCTTCTTTGATGTATTCCGTTGGAAGTACCTGGAGATCAAGCCCAAAGGTGTGGTCACCATAGATGCTGTAGTCCGTCAGCTTTTAGGCGGAAGTCCTGGGCCGGTGATACGCATGTTCTGTACCAGTTGAGCCGCCAGCATAGAGATAGTCCAAGTGCCACGTGTTATGTAGGGTAGTTTCGATTGTGTTTATACGTAGTCCGTGAATTGTGGATGCGTGGCCATACTTACGGGCTTTAAAGTTAAAGTCGCCCCAAACGACATCGGGTTGGAAATTGCCAATTTCAGTAGGATTCATTGAGTGATTTGAGTGGGAGGTAGAACACGGCCATACGGACGCCAAAGCATACAAAGAACACCACGTATGGTGAGGAGTGAACCAGTTTGAATTGAGATGGGTGGTGTTTGGAAAAGATGCCAATACCACAGTGTGAAGGGTGTAAGATGTTGTGCCGTGTTGTGTGATGTAGAATATGATAGTGTGTGTTCGAGCGTATATGATTAAGGAATGTGGTGTTATGCCAGGTTTCAACCACACACATAACATCAACCTGTCTCAAAATCGATATAACGTTCAAACACTTATCTGTATATGCTGCATTGTCCATGTTGGGTCCTTGTGGGTTGAAGAGCGTCATCCTCATTGGTCCTAACATTGTTCATCCTCGGTCAATACTACTGGGCCCTGGTCCTTGTTGATGTCAGCCATTTCTATATCGTTTTCTGTCGTCGAAGAGTCTGTGGTGGAAGGTTGAGGCTGTGCGGGGTAGACCGTTGGTACGTGGGGTCGTCCGGGCTGCGCACGTTCTGGCTGTGTGCTAGCGCCTGTTGGGATTCGTGGGTTAGGTGACAAGCAGTTTGTAATATGTTTTGCTTGATATGCCTTCTGGAGCCGGTCCGTGGTACGTTGGAGAATGTCTGCGTTGGAGGAATTAACAAGGGGGTCCAGTAAAGCATCCATGCTACGGGCAAGAATTTTTGGTGCTCGTTCATGTGTGCAGCGGGCCTCCCGCTTGGTGCGGAGATAGTGGATTAAGGCTGCTTTCGTAGCGTTAGGATGTTTTTGGGAGCGGGGGTCTATGGTTTTATCAAATTGCCACTTCCACGTTAGTTCTGCATGTCGTTTCACCGGGGCGACAGCGTCATTGGGAACACAAAGGCGGACGAAACTGGAGGAGGTCCCGCGGCGATTTAGTTCAGAAACCGGTTTGGACGGGAGATACCAAAGAAAGTGGTGGCGATTGATGAGCGGTTGGGCGTGCCAGTATTTTTCAAATACTGATTGGGATGGGGGCTTGCCGTTGGTGAAAATTGCCCGAAAGAAGAGCCATACCGGAGTGATGTCATCCATTTCATGGAGAGTTTTGTCCGTCATCAGGCGGCCCATCACTTTCGTCAGAAGATGCGCGAGTACTGGCGGCTGCAGTAGGGGCTGAGAGGTCGATGGGATCGGGGTTTTTTGGGGAGTCGGTTTGGTGGGGTTGCCCACTTTTGAGCGGTAGCTGGAAGGCTCACTGCTACTAATGGGCGCCTGTGGCCTCGGTCTTTTTTCTGGCGGGGCTGGCATCAAGAGATTCTGTACGCTGATATGCATCAATCTTACCCGGACAAGGTACGAGAGATCTCTATCGAGGGACCTACCTACGGTATAGTAAAGTTAGCGGACTTAACCTGGGCTGAATTTTACTCGAGAGCGGATCAGACGTTTAACAAACGCTCTAGTTCCGTGGTGAAAGTCACTAATGCTCAGAAGAATGTCAGCAGCAATCATACCGGAGGATCAGGCAATGGTCAAGACTCTCAACCCACTAATGGAGGTCAGAAGGTACACATAGGGGGTGACAAGGGTGGCAGTAAGAACAAAATCATAAATGATTCTGAAGGCAACAAGATCAATGTCATCCCTAAGGGTAACCAGACCAACAGAAATGGACTGCCGGTAGGCAATCCTAAGCCCAGGCATAGGGAGGTCAAGAACTGTAGTGAGATTGATTGCAATTGGCGAATGACCCGACATGAGCCGAATGGCAGATGGAATGGAAGGTAGGCAGAAAAGTGTAAACACTTTTTCGAGAACTGTGCCGACTGTACCGGGACTGGAGGTTACCACAAGCATACAAGCAAGGTGAAACCAAAAGTTGAAATCAAGTGACAAACATACCGGGTCTTGTCACTAAGACAAAAGGACGCACCTCAAGACAAGCGTGTAATCCTTGACGTACGAGTTAATGGACATGAAATAAAAGCGTTGTTAGATCCGGGCTCACAAATTTCATCAGATTCTGTAAATTCACAGACGTTACTCGTAAGTCAGAGTCAACTATGTTAAAATTGGCTGATGAAAGAGGGGTCACTTGCAGAGAAATGGCAATCGATCTTAGGTTTACATTGAAAGACCAACGTACTACAGTTGCTAAGGCAGTCATATGTAACACTTCAGCAGACTATGATCTTATAGTAGGTATGGGTGATTTATTGTCATTAGGTATCACAATTAAAGGCTTACCTACTAACATTGAACCACAGAAGGATCAGTCGGACGACAATTTGTTGAAACCGGTATATAAACCTTTGAAGACTGTGGAGGAGATGATCCCTCACTTTACAGAGAAACTCAAGAACTTGATTTTCGAGAATGACAAGATTCGGATCACGGACTGGTCTAAGTTCAAATTCAATAACGGATACGTTAGTCTAGACCTGACGAGAGTAGATTTCTCGAAGTTGAAGTGTCCTACACGTAACTATGTTGCATGGCGTCATGAGCAGGTCGTACGAGAACAGGTTAAAGCATGGTTAGATGATGGAGTGATCGCAGTCAACTAGGAGCCGACTCCCGTCAACCTAGCGCTTTTAGCCGTCGACCAATTCAACTCTGAACCCCAACAGTTGAATCTCGTTAACACCGAAGTGACATTTCTTACTGTTGATCTTAAAGTTGTGCTTGTTGAGTCTGTCTAGAACCTCTCGCACGACCTTGTCGTGCTCCTCTTTGATTTTAGTCTTGTACATTGTCCATGTCCCTAAACAAGTCTTATATAATTTGTTGAAAGAATGCAGGTAACATGTGTAACCCAAAAGGGGGCACCTTTGAACGAATATTGCTGACCCTCCCAGGTAAAGGTGAAATACTTTCGATGTGGTCGGTAGATCTTCATCTGGTGGTAGCTCTGCGTCAGGTTAATAGTGGAGAATATCTTAGCTCCCTCCATCCGCCTGAGTAGTTCGTTTATCCTTGGTAAGTGAAAACTGTGTGTCAGTATCAATGCGTTAATTGGGCTCATATCCAAACACACCCGAACTTTCTTCAGTGTCCCGTCAAAGTTGGAAGTACCTTCATTTTGGTATAAAAACCCCTTTGTTTGTGTCCAAACGCCAAAAAGCCTTTTTTTTTTCATGCCAAATCGAAAAATGCCTTTATTTCATGTCAAATGTAAAATCGCCTTTTTTTCATGCCAGATGTCAATTTGTTTATGAAAAAAAAAAGGCAATTAAAATATGGACAAGTCTCCACCTTATCGGCTAGTTTGGTAGGAAAATAAAATGATACAAAAACGCTACATGGCGGCTGAAAATGGGCTCCACATTTTTTCATGCTGTGTATATAAATACACGTATATTTACCAAAATGCCTAGAGCCAATTTTCTACAAGCCATCTATGATACGGCCGATGACTGCTTTGCAAACGTAAATGCTTGTAATTTGTCACCACGCATGTTGATGATATCCGAAAATCGCTCGAGGACAGTTTGGACAAGGTGTTGGAAGATCGAGGCATTGAAATGATACAATTTGGCGAGATATACGACGCTTTTGAACAGGCACAAAAAAAATGGCGCACCAAGGCCAAGAATACAGTCGCAGCTGCCACCCAGGAAATATTTGACGTGTTCGAAATGGAAGGTACAATCAAGCCAAGCATTCCCAATCTTGAAAGTGCAATCAAGACCTTGGCAACTCTGATCAGTCCCGATAATCCGAAACTCAAGATTACATACCGTGGCTGTCGCGATAACTTGAGTGTTGCCCTTATGACTCTCCGAGAATCCTTGCTGAGACTTTGGTCATTGGTTAAAAGGTACGATTTTGCAGGCAAACTATTCGGGCCCAAACTCGAGCGACTGGTCGATTGCGCGACATTCCACGTACACAACCACCTGGTTAATTAGGGGTATCAAGGAAATACGACTGGATGGCGAACGTGAGGCACTGGAGCATGCCGAACGTATGGAGAGAATGCGAGAAGTTGAGCACGCATACGAAGAGAGACTTCGGAAGGTGATTGGTGTTGACGCTACGGATGAAAATTAATTATTTTGTGGACCTTACAGGCATGAAAGACACCTTGCCACTGCTAGTGGGACGCGATGTATCCGAACCCGCCAACCCGATTTACCAGGAGTGGCAGCGTGTTAACCGGAAGCGGGGTAGGCGAAACCAAGACTCGCTCAAGTGGTCCGACTTTAAGCGACAGAAGAAGGAGCGGGCTAGCATTCAAGCGATTGAGTTGAGTGACTAGTCAAAGTCGTCTTTGGACACACTCGTACACACGAAAAAATTGATTTCGAGGGCCTTTTACGGCCGAAATAATTTGAAAATCAAAACTCAGAAACATCTGCGCGCGAAAACTTCACCGCGCCTTTTTCGGCCGAAATAATTTGAAAATCAAAACTCAGAAACATCTGCGCGCGAAAACTTCATCGCGCCTTTTTCGGCCGAATTAATTTGAAAATCAAAACTCAGAAACATCTGTGCGCGAAAACGTCCAAATAGATTTTAATCTTTCAGTACACTAAGTTAACAATATTGAAGCTCAACCCATCGGATCGGATCTACGCCGGGGTTAAGTGTCTGTACTGGCACGTACCTGAATTATTAGAATCCATAACCGCTTGCAAATTATTTGTCACATGTTTATTATAGTCCAAGTTTGATCGGTGTTGTCACATACATGATAGTTGCTCAATTGTCAGAGGTCACATCGATAACTGTATTTGATTTCGAAAATTGTAGCATCTGTCGTTCTCGGTCGTCACATCGTTTAGCCTCTTGGATCTCTTTCCGAGCACACAGAGACTCCGGTAACGAGCAGACCCTCCTACTGTTAATAGGGATACTATTATTTATTTCAAAAATGGCAAGTATGTATGATACAATGTATGAACATATGGTATGGCTCTCATAGTTGCTGTAGTGGTTCAGGAAAGATTGATGGGAAGAAGTGGTCAGTAAATTCT